AGATATTATAGTGCTCAAGTGTACGCGCAGACACAAGTGCACTCTCTATACCTGTCACTCTTATACTCCGGTGGGACGACTGCTCGACACGACCAGTGAGAGTTAAGGCGCAGGACCGACGGCTTTACGTGCTCTCCGAGGCACGGGGGTGAAACACCGCCAACTTCCCAACTCCGGGCTGTTACTGAGACTTACTATACGGAAAGACTCAGTAACTAAACTTGGCCCGACCCGGGACTCGAACCCAGGACCTCCGAGTGTGCAGCCGTACATGCTAGCCACTACACCACCGAGGCAGTTAGGCAAATATGTCATAGGAATAGACTCGCGATATTTCAGTATTTTATTTCAACCGGTTTTTTTTGATTTCGATTGTATATAGATATAAAAGATTAGAACTATATAATCCTTATTTTTTTTATAAAACAATTGTATTTTGTTTATACTTAAGTTAGCCCTGACGATATTTTTGCATCTCTAGATGTTTATCACTTATTTTCTTCTTCTATAACTTAGTGTCAATTTAAGCCACAAATTTTACAGCTAAATAGTAATTTAATAGAAATCATTTCCTTGAAATCAGTATCAAATGTTCTTAACTAATGAGTATGAATGTGTGCTTATAACACTTTCACCGTGCGCACGCGACGCCGACCGGGTTTGGTGCCCGATAAGACCGCACTTAATGAGAATACCAGTTAATTGATTTATTATCCAACAGAGAACTGTGTCTGGAAAAGTAATTACACAAATCATTCCACTGAGTCCAATACGTCATATAATAAAATAATGGGAAAATAGTGTAGGTTGTAAGTTATCTTGTTATTTTGTTCTAGTGTAATCGCTTAGTAAAAAATAAACATTTATTACTAATCTCCATTTTTTTTAAGAATCGTTAGTAAACAGATTTTAAACTTTAAAAAAATAACACTTATATGTCACGAGACATATATCTATATAGTATCTACATACTTACAGGTCCATATCCATACTGATATTATAAACTAGCGGCTCACCCTCGCTTCGCTCGGGTTCGTCTCTAGAAAAACACTAATAGAAATCTATTAGTTCCCTCAGGAACCGTTCATTTTTCCCGGATGAAAAGTAACCTGTTGTTTGACCGGCAATATAAGGTATCAGAATGTTAAATTTTACTAAATTAGGTGCATAAGTTGTATAAGTTATAATAGTTTTTTAACTATCCCACGGGAACCATTTAATTTTCCGGGATAAAAAATATCTAAGACGTTGTCCGGGGATATAGGGTACCACCATGCAAAATTTCATTTAAATCGGTCCAATAGATTCGGAGATTAGGCCGTACAAACAGACAAACAGACAGAGAAACAAAAAATTTTAAAAAAATCTGGATTTGTTCTATTTGTCTTCTTACATCCCCCTGACTCGGTTTTTAGCATTTTTTGCTATGTACAGACATTCGACCTTTACTGTTTTATTATAGTATAGATGTGAAAGTGTGTTTTGTTTGTTTGTACTTCTTGTAAAAGATTTGTTGATATCTCCAAAACGGGTTTGACAAATGCTTATGCGATGTTTTTTTGTAAATCATTGTATTATTAGTTGCAATCTCAGACTAACTTTAGTCAATGAATTAAATCTGTTGTATCAATATAGCTTACGAGTACTTGTATTTCATTCCTTATTTTAAAATGTCTATTAGATAAAACAACGTGGTTAAGTGAATTAGCCAATATTGCAAATTCAGCCTTATGTTCTCTGATTAAATAATCTAAACTCTTTATAACAGTAAAGAGATGTTTGTATGTTTGTTTGCAATGAATAAACTAAAAATCCGCTAAACCTAATTTAGATGAAATTTGGTATATCGATAGATAGTTTGAGACCCTGGGAATGACATAAGATAATTTTTATCCCGGAAATCACATCCATCTTATGGGGATGAAAATGTATATAGGGAATCAATCATTTCTCTCAAGTAAGAAATATAAAACTCATCATATCTATGTATATATATCACTACATAGTATAAAACAAAGTCGCTTCCCGCTGTCTGTATGTCCCTATGTATGCTTAGATCTTTAAATATATAGTGATTCAAGAGGAAGGTTTTAGTATATAATTTGTTAAGTTTTTGTACACATTGGCTAAAATATAACGATATTTGTTGGAGGTGTCGGAAAAAAATAAGCCGTCTGGGAGCTTTCAACGAAAACGCTGCATAAACCCTTTGATATATAACAAAATAATGTATGGTGGAATTGTGTATCTTTTATAGGTCTACAGAAAAGTCCGCGATGACATAATATGTCTATCTCTTAAGGATAACATACTATATCCATTTCAATTTAAAACGGACCTAGGGACGAACCCGAGCGAAGCGAGGGTGAGTCGCTAGTCTATACTAATAATAATATTATAAAGAGGTAAAGTTTGTGAATTGTGAGTTTGTGACGTTTTAGGGGTAATCTCTAGATGTACTGAACCGATTTAGATGAAATTTGGTATGAAGATAGTTTGAGACCTTGGAAAGGACATAAGATACTTTTTATCTCGGAAATCATCCCTAAGGGGGGTGAAAATGGGAATGAAACTTTGTATTGGGAAGCAAGTCAGGGACGAACCCGAGCGAAGCGAGGGTGAGTCGCTAGTATACTATAATTTAATCCGTTAGTAGAGTTAAAACATCGCAATAAGTGCCACAACGAACAAGATAAATAAAAGAACGATCATTCCTAATTGGTCTTATTATCACCTTACAAAAACACTTGATTTGTTTACTAGTTATCCGTTAATTGAATTTCCTAATATACTGAATTCTTATTATTGTTGTGACAAAAAATCTATTGGAAAACTTAAATGTGATGCTTTGTTTCATTGAATATTATAAATGAGAAATTTCGCATTTCGTTTTAGAATCCTTAAAAAATTGAAATCAAAATAAATTTATGGGTATTAAATATTATGATTTTAAAACGAATTTTGCCATTTTAGTACAATTTTCGTATTTAACCCTTTCTAACGTCCCACAGCTGGGGGTGGGCCTTCCTTCAATACGAGGCGGATCAGGCCATAGTCCACCACACTGGCCAATTGCGGGTTGGTGGACTTCACATGTCTTTTAAAAACTTGCTAGGTTCTCTCAGATATGCAAGTTTTGTCGATGTTTTCCTTCACCGTAAGACAAGTCATGTTCATGTTGGAAATAATACGCACATGAAAATATCAGACGTGCGAGACCTGGAATTTGAGCTCGCTTCACTCGGTTTCCCAAGCGACCGCGTTACCACTGGGCCTACCCCTGCCTGTTAAAATGCCTAACCTACAATGACTATAGAATATCATCTATACATATAATAAAATTCTAAGTTGAATATATCTGTATATTAATTTTTTTTTGGAAAATCTTATTGAAATAGTCATTATTATCGATACAGAGGCCAATATAGTTTTCGGAATTTTTGTCTGTCTGTCACGAGAAACTAAATAAACAGAATTTGATGAAATTTGGTATGGTGATAGCTGGCTATTCGGGTCAACATATAGGATACTTTTTACTATCTAATAACCGTTGCAACGTACCTAGGGACGACCCGCGCGGAGCGAGAGTGAGTCGCTAGTCTTCTAATAAATCCGTCTTATTACGTATATTCAATAATTCGTGACAAAAGGATAGACGAATGATAGAACACTTTAAATATAAACATAAGACTAAAGAATAGTGCTGTCGTGTATAAATTATATCTAGCAAGCAAAGAGCGCTATTATAAAACTCGACAATATTTTCTGCCGGAACGCTTCCCTCTAAACAGTTCCGGTGCTCAGTAACTTAAATCCTAGTCAATTACGTTAACGATTCGAAGACAACACAATAGAGTATCATGTTACTCATCGGTTACTAGAGATGGCTATCGAAATGATCGCAGGATATACCGACCGGTGGATCTTTAGTGACTTTGATTTTTGATAACAATTTACTGTGAAAATATTTACAGTTTAAAAGAAATTGTTTGATATATGTACATACTGATTTAATAATAATAATAATAATAATAATAACCCCCCCAAGGGAATTGACCTTGTCGCGGTGGGGGGGCTTACGGAAAGGAGAAACCACATCTTAAGATCACAACATCTGATCTATTATACTTATCATACAGACCTTATAATGCCAACACCATCAAGGCTCACCCTTTCTAAACTAATAATTCCCAACCTTTTTATGTAAATGCAATGAAAAAAAGATTTTATAACTTGCGGCCGCTGCCCGGGGGTCGCCGGGGCGCACCTGGAGCCGATGCTGGGTGTCTCAGTATGCGAACCATCGGCGACAAGGAGTTGACCAGGCGGGCTCCTGTCGAAGAATTTGTTACAGCCGAAGTTCATCTTGATCACAATCCTTCATTCGAATTTACATCAATACATAGTCTATCCCAATCACCCAGTTCATCAACTCATCCTTTAAAAATACCTCCCTCTCCGTCATCATCTTCAAACACTGATATATCGTATAGTGTTGCACAGGAGACAAGCTATGTCAGTACACCTGTGCCCACTATATCGACAACTAAAAGGACTCGTATGAGATGGAATAATGAATTAAATGAAGCCATTATCAAGTCCTATTACCGTATAACGAAGCTAGAAACAAACTCTATTCCCTACAGAAGAACACTTCACCAACATTTTATTAATACCTTCCCACATTTATCACATGTTTCTGAACAAAGGGTAGCTGATCAAAAACGTCGGATAATTCTAAATAAGTTAATCAGTGAAGACAGGTTACAAAGTATTAAAAATGAAATATCAGTAGAACTACGAGTTGCTTACAATCTCACTCAAAACCATAGTAATAATTCAAATGCTCCTTTACCAACAAGTAGAATGAGATGGTCTAATGAGTTAAATGAAAGTCTAATAAGATGTTACTATATAGTTACAGAGTTAGAAAATAATATGACAGCCTACAGACAGAAGCTCCATTCAAATTCATACAAATCCATCCTGAGTACTCGAATATGTCGGCCCAAAGACTATCAGATCAAAGAAGATCAATAGTAAATAACAAGCTTTTATCATCTCAAAAACTACTGCAAATAAGAAAAGATATACAAAACAATTATAAATATGAAAATAAACAATATGACAGCATAAGGCATAGTAACGAATCAAGCAATACTCAAAAACAAATCCCACCCTTTTCTCCGGCTGCAAACACATCAGTAAATACAGTAATTGATAAAGGTATCCCTCAAGATATAAATACAACGGTTCCATCAACATTTCACACACAAAACTTACCCCAAACTTCAGTTCTAGATAATAGACAAACAGAAGACATTAGTTTGGAAGTTAATCAAGAAATAGAAAATCTCTTTCAAGAAACCTTACACTATAATATTAAAACTGATCCCACTTGCAGAACATATATTCCCAAGCAAAAGTTATCGAAAAAATTCTGTGCGATATTAAACTATATAAATACTATCACTTTACCAAAATACATAGACCCAAATATAGATTTCAGTACATTGCAGAATATCATCTACTCTGCAGCCTGGACAGCAGCAAAATTAAATGGTTCCATTTTACACCAAAATAATAAAGTACAACCCGAAAAAAAAGCTAAGTGGCAGGTAAGATTAGAAAAGAAAATAGATAATCTAAGAGTAAAAATAGGAAAAATGACACAGTATATAAATGGGAATAAAAGTGAAAAACTAGCATACCAAATCCAACAAATACAGAATCAATATAAGACACATTCAACACATGAAGGCCCAAACACAGAACCTATCCATTTTCATAATGAAAAAACATTTTATCGCAGTATAAGTGCGATCAGTTCTAATCACACAGCATCAACTCCACAAAATATACCATCGCCGGAAGAACTTCGAAATTATTGGGCGGATTTATGGGAAACGTCAACAGAGCATAACGATAAGGCAGAATGGATTAAAACCGAAATAAACCACCACAACGATATTACGCAAATGGAATTTGAATCTATCCCTATAGAAATATTTAATAAAGTTATTAGAAAACTACATAACTGGAAATCTCCAGGTTCAGACAACATCCACAACTTTTGGTACAAAACATTTACATGTATTCATCCACATCTCTACAATCATATAAATAAATTCATCCAAAATCCTCATACAATACCTCAATATATTATGCATGGAATCACGTATATGCTACCAAAAAATAATTCAGAACCTTTAAATCCAGCAAACTATAGGCCTATAACCTGTTTACAGGCAATATATAAAATCATTAGTTCTTGTATTACTGAAGTGATATATACGCATATTGACTCCAATAGTATATTAGCTGAACAGCAAAAAGGCTGTAGAAGGTTTACTCAAGGTTGTAAAGAACAATTAATAATTGATACTATTACATTACAGAAAGCAAATAGAAATAAAAGTGAATTATATACTATGTACATTGATTATAAAAAGCCTTTGATTCAGTTCCTCATTCCTGGTTACTTAAAGTTTTAGAGATATACAAAGTTCACCCACGCTTGATAAATTTTCTACAGTCTATAATACAAAAATGGTCCACAAAACTACGACTGAAGACTACTATAGGGATAATAGACACTCCTTCCATTAAAATCAAAAAAGGAATATTCCAAGGAGACTCTCTTAGTCCTCTGTGGTTCTGTCTGGCATTGAATCCATTATCAAGCTTACTTAACAATAGTAATGTGGGTTACCCTTTAAAATATACCAATAATGAATCAAACCAACTAATTACGTATCACTTAAATCACTTAATGTATATGGACGATATTAAGCTGTATGCATCATCACTAGATGACCTACATAAATTAGCTAAGATAACCGAACGTTTTTCTAAAGACATTCATATGACATTTGGAATAGATAAATGTAGAATTAATTCACTCAACGCCAGACAAAACCAAGAGCTTAATTATCTATTAGAAAACGGTCAGTTGATACATTCATTACAACAGGACGAAGTTTACAAATACTTGGGTTACAATCAGTCAAACGAAATAAAATCTAAAGAAGTTAAAGCTAAACTAATTCAAAACTTTAAGCATAGATTAAACATTTTACTGCGATCACAGTTATATTCTCGTAATCTCATCAAAGCAATAAACACTTACGCCATACCTATCCTTACATACTCTTTTGGTATCATCAAGTGGTCAAAAGCCGAACTTAAAAATATCCAACGCATAATAAACACTAGCATGACGAAGTGTAGAAAACATCACCCTCGAGCCTGTGTTCAGCGTCAAACATTACCCCGCGTTGAAGGAGGTAGAGGTCTCATAGATGTGACTAACTTGCATAATAAACAGATTACTATACTTCGGACATATTTTCATCAAAGATTGGTACAATCTACTCTACATGAAACAATAGTAAATATTGACAAGAAATTAACACCTTTGAATTTACAAGATAAAAGCACCCAGAAAAATGAGAATCAAGTATCTAATCAATTTAAAATAGATGAATGGTCTCGGAAATCTCTGCACGGAAGACATCGCCATGACTTGTGCCAATCTAATGTTGACAAGGTTGCATCAAACGCATGGTTGAGGCGTGGCGAGCTTTTCCCGGAAACCGAGGGATTTATGATATCCATACAAGATCAAACAATAGAGACTCGGAATTACCAAAAACATATAATGAAAACCCTAATGCAAAACACAGACTTATGTAGAAAATGTAACAGCTCTCCTGAAACAATACAACATATTACTGGTGCATGCCAAACAATAGTACAGACTGATTATAAGCACAGACATGACCAGGTTGCTAATATCATCCATCAGCAAATAGCCCAAATGCTTAAAATTACAACGAACAAACCTGTACCATATTACAAATATATACCAGAAACAGTTATAGAAAACTCAAATTATCGTCTCTATTTTGACCGTGCTATATTAACTGACAAGACAATCCACTATAATAGACCGGATATAACTCTTCATGATAAACGCAGTCAATCGGCTTTTATCATTGACATAGCTATACCAAATACCCACAATCTACAGAACGCGATAGCTGAAAAGTTAACCAAATACATTGAGTTAAAAGACGAAATAAGAAGAATGTGGCATCTTGAAACCGTTACCATAGTTCCAATCGTACTCTCAACTACTGGTGTAATTCCAAAACAATTATTTCAATCTCTTAAAGTACTGAACCTTCCTTTATATACATATTTTAATCTACAAAAAGCCGTTATATTAAACACATGTAGAATTGTTCGTAAATTTCTACAAACGGATAATGATATAGGCAGTAGTATCCCCACATCGTTTGACATTATACAAAGTCATGTCCAAGCGCCACGTCTGCCACAACACATGCCTCAACGACACAGTATTACTTTAGATACTTAATTACCATACAACAAAAACTATCCCACTAACACTTGGCTATGGCCCGTGTTAGCTGAGAATACCGGCAAAGCCGAGATTTTCAAACGAAAATAAAAAAATAATAATAATAATAAGCCCCCTAAAATCCAACCGTACGTCCGAATCGACCATCTGATTCACGTAGGGGGCGGACACGTGATATGTTTTTACTGGCACGGCTAACACGGAACTGGTAACCCATTGAACATGGAGACACGACTAAAGAGTAAACGTTTAGGACCGCTACCCGGGGGCGATCGCCGGGGCGCACCTGGAGCTGACGCTGGGTGTCACAGCATGCGAACCGTCAGCGGTGTGGAGTTGAACAGGCGGGCTCCCACCGACAAAGATGTTACAGCCGAAATCATTTACGATGGCGACAGGACATCATCACCTTCCATGCCATCGTCATCCCCATTTAATAGCCAGATAGATACAGTTCCACCCAAGCTGGCCTTGAATGTTGCGCGGGAGGCAAACGCCTTCTTACCCGCGTCCACCAAGGCTGGAAAATCAAGAGTTCGCATGAAATGGAGCAAAGACGTAAACCTATTTATCATGCGAACATACTTACATATTACAAAGTTAGAGACAGATATGACCACCTACAGACAAAAATTGCACGCACTTTTCACACGTCAGTATCCAGAAATTACAGTTTCAGAACAGAGAATTTTAGACCAGAGAAGAACTATAGTTAGGAATAAACTTTTGTCACAAGAAGTTATTGACCAATTGAAAGAAGAAGTACGGGCGATATTAATACAGGAAGAAATAGAGAATTATGAAAAAACTAACGCAATTACATTAATACAAAATACAAATAAAAATGATCTGCAAGAACAACCGCTATCATTTAACTTATTTATTAACTGCCTCCGTGGTGTAGTGGCTAGCATGTACGGCTGCACACCCGGAGGTCCTGGGTTCGAGTCCCGGGTCGGGCCAAGTTTAGTTATTGAGTCTTTCTGTATAAGTAAGCCTCAGTAACAGCCCGGAGTTGGGAAGTTGGCGGTGTTTCACCCCCGTGCCTCGGAGAGCACGTAAAGCCGTCGGTCCTGCGCCTTAACTCTCACTGGTCGTGTCGAGCAGTCGTCCCACCGGAGTATGAGAGTGACAGGAATAGAGAGTGCACTTGTGTCTGCGCGTACACTTGAGCACTATAATATCTCCTGCGCAGTTGGCTAGTCTCAATGAGATTGGCCGCCGTGGCCGGAATCGGTCAGGAGAACATCATATCATTTAATCAAATACAACATTATACACAATCTCAATCGCGCAGTCACTATGGAGCTCACATGGAAACATTACACACATTTACGAACACACCACATATATTCACACAAACATCACACACATCCACACAGACCGAATCATTAACTTTTACGATCGAAAACGACATTGAAACCTTGGTCGATGAAGATCACAATCTAACACCAGATACATATATACAAGAATTACATGACAAATATAGAACACAATTAACACATTATGCTGGAATGGACCCCACAGCGAGACCAAAATTACCTAAACTTAAATATAGCCCTAAACTTTTACGACTAGTTAATGTATTTAATGAAAGTATCCTACCACAGTTTTTATCTGATGACATACAATTGATAGACATACACACTCTAATTTATTGCACAGCGGTGGTAATTTCTGAAGAACTCAATTTTAAAATTACCGAACACACAATAAATACAAGATCTAGAGACAAAATGAAACCACCCTGGCAACAAAGACTAGAAAAGGATATTGAAAAATTGAGGGCGGACTGTGGCAGACTCACACAGTATATTAACAACAATAGATCTCAAAAAGTAGTTAAAAAAGTAGAAACAATATTTAGGAATAGTTTAATCCACACCAAACATGAAAATAGCAATAGGACACCTCATGATTTTCTGGACACATTAAAACAAAAGCTGGCACTTAAAGTAGGCAGACTTAAGAGGTATATGAAGGGACAACAGCGCAAAAATGATAATGCTACATTTGCTATGAACGAAAAGTTATTTTATAGGAATATACAGAAACCACATAACGACTCAACAACTGAGAACGATGCAGTCACACCTACGAAAGAAAACTTTGAAAGATTTTGGTCTAACATATGGGAAGAGCAGGTTCATCATAATGATAAAGCATCTTGGATTGCAGAAGAAAAAGAACAATGGAGAGCAGTGGAGGCAATGGAATTTACAGAGATAACGGAATCTGATATTACAAATATAACAGCTAGACTACACAATTGGAAGTCCCCGGGCATAGATAAAATACATAATTTTTGGTATAAAAAGCTTACGATACTACACAAATGCATTGCAAAAAATTTAACACATATTGTATTAGGTGAACAGGACATACCGGAATTTATTGCAACAGGAATAACTTATATGCTACCTAAAGCGAAATACACATCAGAACCTTCTCAATACAGACCAATCACATGCTTACCCACGATCTACAAAATACTGACATCAGCAATCACAACTAAAATCAACACACACATAGAACGACACAATATAATATCTGAGGAGCAGAAGGGGTGCAGACGGGGCCATATGGGGTGTAAAGAACAATTAATAATAGACTCCACTATTCACAAACATGCCACCACAAAAAATAGAAACTTACATTGTACATATATAGATTACCAAAAAGCTTTCGATAGCATTCCTCACTCTTGGTTAATACAAATATTAGAAATATATAAAGTTAATTCTAAAATTATAGACTTTTTGCGCATTATAATGACACACTGGAAAACTACACTCCAGCTAAACAAAGGTCTCAATACATTAAGAACTCGACAGTTACATATTAGAAAGGGTATCTATCAGGGTGATGCTTTGAGCCCCCTATGGTTTTGTCTCGCCCTAAACCCCCTGTCTCACTTACTTTATCGATGTAAAGCCGGATATAAGTTTAAAAATAATACCGCTGAAACTGTTATCTCTCATCTTATTTATATGGATGACATTAAATTATATGCTAGCAACCAAAAAGAAATGAAAACGCTAATAGAAACTACTACAAAATTTAGTCAAGATATTAATATGCAATTTGGATTAGATAAGTATAAGACATTACATATTATAAAAGGAAAAATAAAACCCGGCAACTATATAATTAACGACACCGACACAATTACAGCAATGGATTCAACAGATCTTTATAAATATTTAGGATACAAGCAACTTAAAGGAATCAACCACACAGAAATTAAACACACACTAAATACAGAATATCGTAGGAGAGTTAACGCAATTTGTAAAACAAAATTATCTGGAAAGCATTTCATAAAAGCCCTGAATACTTTTGCAATACCTATATTGACCTACTCATTCGGAGTAATAAAATGGTCAAAAACTGATATTGAACAATTAGAAAGATCCACACGCACAATTCTCACAAAACACAACAACCTTCACCCTAAATCGGCCATCGAACGACTCACAATCAAAAGTCAAAATGGAGGGAGAGGCCTAATCGATATTAAAAACCTTTGGCAGACACAAATAATAAACCTAAGAACATTCTTTAACACAAAATCACGCACCAGTAACATATACAAAACAATTACCTTAAACGATTTTAATTACACTCCGCTTAATTTAAATGAACCAAACATACCAGACACAACCAACACTAGCACACAAAGTCAAAAAATTGAAAAATGGAAACAGAAAGTTCTTCACGGTAGACACCCACACGATCTAGAACAATCCCATATTAACATAGAAGCATCTAACAAGTGGCTTAAGATAGGAAACTTGTTCCCAGAAACCGAAGGCTTTATGATAGCTATACAAGATCAAATTATAAATACAAAAAACTACAGAAAATATATCATAAAAGACCCTACCATCGTCAACGATAAGTGTCGCAGGTGCCACATACAACCTGAAACCATACAACATGTTACTGGCGCGTGCACAGCACTCACACAAACAGACTACACTCACAGACACAACCAAGTAGCAAACATCATCCATCAAAAGCTAGCACTCAAACACTCTCTCATACAAAACACTCACACACCTTACTATAAATACTCACCACAAACTATCCTAGAAAATGACACACACAAACTGTATTACGATCGTGCCATACTCACAGATAGGACCATCCATTATAATAGGCCAGACATAACTTTACAGGATAAAATAAGAAAAATCACTTACCTGATAGACATTGCGGTTCCCAACACTCATAACCTACAAAAAACAATATCTGAAAAAATAAGCAAATACGCGGAACTTAAAGAAGAAGTTGCAAGAATATGGAGACAAGAAAAAGTTTACGTTATCCCTATAGTCCTCTCTACGACAGGTGTCATACCCAATCATCTTATACATAGCCTGAAACTAATAGATTTAGAAGAAACCGTCTATATAAGTCTGCAGAAAGCTGCCATTTTAAACACATGCAGAATAGTGCGTAAGTTCATGCAGTTAGAAGAAGAAAATACAATTATATTTTAAACAGGCACTCACCACACCACACGCTACATTTACTTGGCTTTGGCCCGTAATGTAGTTAAAACCAGCCAAAAGCTGAGAAAAAGAACAAATCTGATAATAATAATAATTTATTTCAGATCAATAATCCATATTACTTAGTTTTTATATTTATGAATACAATTAAATTTAATAATAATAATAATAAAATCTAACAAATAGTTTCTCCCCGATACTTTAAAAGTAGTTACTTGATTGTGTGCAGCTGCATCCAGCGCCCAAGTATCGGGCAGTCCCAACGGTCTGCCAATGCACTTAAGATGCCATTGGTACTGCCACGCATGCGCTGCATCATGGAGGTACATCGCTTCCGCATGATTGTACTGAAGCTGTCTGTACGAGCTTCAGCAAACATGCCTGATGCACTACAATATCGTGGCAGCCCCATTAGCACCCTAAATGCATTGTTATATTGGATTAATGGTAGCAATTACATTAATGGTAG